CCAGAGTTCTAAAACTTGCTTTGCAAGTTCTTCACAGCGTTAAATCGTAAGGATGAGATATTGTTCCAGTGAATCAAGACGTTCGGAAATGTCAACGGAGAGCAAACTCGACGCCAGCATTCGAGGGAGGCACTCCATCGCCACGTGAAGAACCCAGAACTAAACAAAGGGGAGAATCCAGATCAATTCTCCTTTCTTTTGTAATCAGGAAATTCAATTGTAATCGAGATCGAGAGAATACAAATAAAATTTCTTTCATTCTTTTTACTATAAATTTTCCACCAAACACTTATAAATTAAATTCTGATTCAAATTTGATGTAGGATAAATTTGATGCCTAGGACATGGAGCAAAAGCGAGATTCAGTAATGAGACACTTGTGCAATCTGTGAAATAAGTGGTATGGTGACAAGCACAAGTAATATGTGAAAGAAAATTCATTGCGAGTTGCACTTAGAAATAAACCTAAGAATTTTAGTTATTAGTCTCCTAATTTTATTTATTTTGTTTCATGTATATTGTTGGATTATTAAAATTCTCTTTTAATCTTGATGTATAGAAAGAAAGCCAACAAAATACACTTAACAGAGGTAAAAGAAAGATGTTCCACCACACGGACAGTAAATCCCTTAGACAAATTGCGCGGGATCTGATATACATTCAAAACTAATTTCTATTTATTAAAAACTACTTTATTTTTTAGTTTGATGTTGTACTCATTTTTATTTAATATTTGAATAAGAGTGGCAAGTTAGGAAATCTACCTGATGTGGCAAAAATGTTTCATGAAACCTGAAAGAAAGTTAATAAAACACTAGATACTGGAGATCAAGATAAATATATAAGTAGAATATATATTTAAGTTTGATAATGATGCATTATATAGTACTAATATATGAATTTAATTTTTATAGGATGAAATTGTTCAAGTCAAATAAGCAAATCCTTTACTTTTAGACATTAAGATAATTGAGAAATTTTGGGGGAAGCAATCTCATGGCCACATCACTATATTTGGTAGTGCGTCTACTTTGAAAGATTTGAAAGGACCACTCTCTAGTCGATCTAACCTGGAAGCACGGGTTATAGAAGAAAAAAAGAAAGAACCAAATGCTTCAACAACGCTTAGATGAGCAAGAGCAACAACAACATTAGCAACAACAAAGGATGTCAGACTTAGAGTCATAAGTGAAAGTATGCATGAACTTTTTTTAGGCAACAATCTAATACTTCATTGACTCCTCAAACTCGAGAACATATGCAGGACTAGGTAATTATTTTTATAAAATCTCTTATATACTTTTATGATTGACTACTTGCACCAGAGAAAATACGATTTTTACCTAATAAGATAATATTTGCTTAATTGATATTTCTTAACTATGTGATTTTTTTTAGGCTATCCAAGATTAGGAGAGGGGGTAGCTCGAGTCTTCTTTTTGATAATGATTAGAGATGAAATGATGTGTCTTTCCCAGACTTTTATTTTAATTTGATTTAGATAGTTTCACTTATTTTTCTTTGGAACAATTAGGATATTAACTCTTGTTATTAGTATTAAATATTTGAGGATGGTGAAGTTTTATTGATTGATGTTATTAATGAATGGAGTTTTTGTTTTCCCTTTTATTCATTATTGGGTATTTTTAATATATTTGTGTTGTGAATCTCAGTATCATGTTGAGAACAATAAGAAGGTTTTTTATGATAGTTGCCCATGAATAGAAAAATTATTATTAATGTATATTAAAAATTTATAGTCTATAATGAAAATTTTATAAACCGTATTTAGTTCATCAATGAAGGAAAAGCACCATCATTGATGGATTACTAATTACCCACCATGAGAATTTTTACGACAGTATCCAACCATCATTAATTGGTCTTCAACGACGGGGTTGTCACCCGTTGTTACACAATAACAATGGGAGTACAAAACTATCATTACCCAACAATAACGGGAATAAAAAATTATCATTTTACAATAACAACGGGAAAAAGTCACCGTCTCTAATGGTAACGACGATGATAATTACCGTCGCAGATATGAATGACAGTAATATGTTCTGTCATCGTAGACTCTATAACAATGGGTATTATAACCTTTGTGACACTTTGGCGAAGAAGGCTTCTACGACGGGTGACGAAGGAATTTTTTTTGTCGTTGGCATATAATAACGAAGGTTTTTAGCTCTTTAACGAAGGAAAATCCCTTCGTTAAAGACTCAATTTCTTGTAGAATCCGCTTAACCTTGTCTACATTCCTACAATTTGAAAAAAAATAAAAAATAAATGTTAATGTTAACAGGAACCAAATTAGACTTAACAGTTTTTACATCATAATTAACAGGAAAGAACTTTAACTTAACAGAAAATACTTTAGACTTTACATGATATATTGCTTACTTTTCACATCAAACGTTTTGCATTTAACATGAATTAATTAGATTTAACATGTAATTACTTATACTCCATACATGAAATTACTTGAAATAACTCATATTTTAACATGAATAGGGCAAATATTATCTTTTACCATCGTAATTGATCATAGGCCTCATAAGCATCACTATATAATTATTATTATGCACTTTTTTACCCCACTATATCGTATTATACTCGACCGTTAGTCCATACTGACTTAGAATTTTTTTTTACATATCAATAGGGGCGTATATCCGGCCGGACATTCAACATGGGTTGTAATTGGGTTGCAGTGAATTTTCGGGAGGACTTGAATGACCGACAATATTACCATATTGCCCACAAGTGTGATTATTCACGAACTTTTTTATAACGAGTCTAGTTTCATTTCTAGGTGGGGAGGCAAATAACATTCATGGGCAACTTTTGGTTTCCTTAGATCAGCAATAAACTTGAATACACTTTGGTTCATTCTTTTCAAATTCATACTCAAACTGTTTGGCCATTAAATAGTAAAGCAAAGTAGTGTGCTACCAGGAATCTTCTCTGAATTGCTAATCATGTCATCAATCATTATAATATTGTCACCAGAAAGCTTATCATTGTGAATCCTATCTGAAACACATGTTGACGTCGGTAGACCACAATCTTTACTCTTTGAGTTCAAAGTAGGGGGCTATGCTGCAAATATTTAGAAAATAATCAGAACATAAAATCAAAAGCAAATAATAAAAACTAAACAAGACTTCACAACGAACCAATTTGATTTAACAAATAAGAATTAATATTGAACAGATTAGACTTGACAATCTTCCAATTAGACTTAACATTCAACTTATTAGACTTGACATTCCTCAAATTAGAATTAACATTCAACGCATGTGACTTGACATTCCTCTCATTAGAATTAACATTTGGAAGATTAGACTTAATATTATTTTTATTACAATTAACATGCTTTTCATTAGGTAAAAAATATCTTACAATTAAGCTTAACATTCAACTGACTAGACTTAATATTCAACTCTATAGACTGAACATTCAACCAATTTGAATTAACATCACTCCAATTAGACTTAACATACAGCACATTTGACTTAACATGTAACAACTTACACTTAACATTCAACAAATTAGACTTAACATATAATCTATTACACTTAACATTCTACCTTTAAACTTATTATTCTACCCAATAGACTTAACATACAAGCATTTAGACTTAACTTCCAACTCGTTAGACGTAACATCATACTTATTGAACTTAACATCAAAAATTGTCAAATGGAAATCACATTTAGCCGGTATTTCTTTAAATTTTTATCTTTTCACGATGTTCAAACAAAAATTACAAATTTTTATTAAAAAATTGATAATTTACAGGTCTTGTGGAACTTGCTGATTGTTATGAAAAGTCGAATCCTTTGCTTTTTAAAAAGTTTTCATATGAATCTTTTTACACCTAATATTTTGGCTATGCTTCACCATAGACGACAAATCATCTTCGTTCTCAATCGCAAAAGTGAAGTTATCGTTTGTTTCACCTTTGTATGTCAGCGATAAAGAATCGTAAGGAAGTTTTAACCTCTCTAACACATCATATTTCAGTTTCATCATGGTGGTTGAAGAGTTAATCTTTAAGAAAACTGTTTTATCACTTGAGGAGACCATACAGATGATCGCTTTCTCAACCATTAATGAAGGGAAGGTAGAAGGAGTAATTAAGAGAATTTTAGGACAATAGGAGTATTGATAGTTGAAGAGTAAAAACACTGAAAAATTACATAAAGAGTTATTGTTCATGATAGAGAAAAATGGAGGAAAATTTTTCTCCAAATTTTTACCATTAGATCACCATTAATGGGATCTGACATTCGCCTAATGATGGGGCGATTGCGTTATGGAGAAGGAAAACAATATTTTAGGGTTTATGAGGAAATATTGTAGTTTCCTCTGTACGACTGATGTGGAGGGGCCCGAATACATTAATTAAGTTTTTTGGGTCTGATTCACAATGAGAAAAGATTGAAGTACGGTCACATGAGTTGATAAATATTGGAGCCTTTAGGACAAGTGCAGCAAGCTCCCACCCCACCTCCTAAGGCTGAGGTGGCGGTGGGAGCTTGCTGGACTTGCTCCAGCAAGCTCCTAAGGAAGCTCTGAGAGCTTCCGTAGCACAAAGCCTAGGGCTTTGTGCCACGGAGCTCCCAAGCTATTAAAAAAAATCTTTTTTTAACAAAAAACTCCTTGCTTTTGTACCTTTGCAATAGAATAGGGGTTTTTTGATAGAAGAGAGGTTTTTTTGATAGGGTTTTTTGATAGAAGAGGGGTTTTTGATATTGTTGGAGCTCCTAACTAGGAGCTTGTTGGAGCTCCATAAAAGAAGAAGTGTCTCTCAAGGCTTAATTTGTTAATTTTTTATTCTAAAATGCTTGAGAGCTCTTGAGAGCTTGCTGACTAGGACTCTCAACTGGGAGCTTGCTGCACTTGCTCTTACACAATTTTCCCAAAATAAATTTCACCTTTTCCCTCCACCAGAAGAATATGTAAAATTTTCCGCTACGGTTCGGGTTCAGAGCTTACAACTATCAAACCCGAATCCTTTTCATGCATCTCTATTTCTGAATTCTGATCCCGCCGGCTCAAAAACCCTAAAATTTGGGGGTTTAGGATTTTACACAGAAGCATCGAAAGAAGAAATTTTGAAGAAGATGAAGGTGGTTGCTTTAGTTAGTGGCGGCAAAGACAGCTGCTTTACTATGATGCGATGCATCGATTACGGTCATGAGGTCAGTCTCAAATCCCAAATTCCCAATTAATTTTCAATTTTGTATTTAATTATTGCTTATTTAATTCAAATTGATTGGGTAAATGTGTGTGTAGATTGTTGCATTGGCTAATTTGTTGCCTCTTGATGATTCTGTTGATGAATTGGACAGCTACATGTATCAAACTGTAAGCAGTTCTATTATTCTTCCAGAAATTTTAATCTTTAAAGGCTTTTTATTAAGGAAGAAGAAAATAATTTATTGTTTATTTGAGATGTAAATTATATTTTTGGTTAAGTGTAGGTTGGGCATCAACTTGTGGTTAGCTATGCAGAATGCATGGGGTTGCCTTTGTTCCGGAGGCGGATAAGGGGTTCCACAAGGTAATAGCATTGTTGTTAGTTCGTTTCACTTAGATTTCGTGCCGTTTACTTGTCCAAGTTTATTACATATGTTTATACTTTTTATGCAGCTATTTCTACTGTACAATAGTAGTGTGCTTTTGTTTATTTATTTATGGTTGCATTTTCTACCCCCTTAGTATGATATGCTAAGAGAAGCTCATACTGCCTAGAGAAGTATAAAACAAAAGAGTTGATTTGGTGTTGGCCTTCGCTCAGTTTTAAGTATTCACCAATAAAATTGGGTAACTTTGGCACCTACCAATCATTGTTGAAGGCTCACTAGACTCTCACTAATGGAAATTAGGGGTTTGGATTGGTAAATGGAAATTTCAAGTCTCAAAAGGTGCTGGCAGGTTTTGTATATAAGCCAAGAAACTTGCTTTCCAGTTTCTAGTTATAAATAGAGAAGGAGGGGGCAGAGAGAGGCAGGAAGGGAAGGAGGGAGGGAGATAACATCAGCAAGGATCCGCAGGCATACTCTGTCACCTTTGTGGCCTTCAGTTTCTTTTTCGTTTTTGTTAAAGAAAGTGAGGTTCCTCTCCTCTTCCTCTACATTCTACTGCACCAGATCATCTTGCCGTCCTTCACTTCGACATGTCACTTCTTCTAGGATCATAAACGTATATGTTTTTGTTTCATCTAAGTTTAGTTTTAATTCATATATTTTTGACAGGCATAAAATGTTTAACCCATGGACGTAGTTCTACATTTTTTTATCGATCATTTTTTAATCCTTCCTCTGTGATGTAGCTGTCCCTTTTCCTAGTCTTTTTATCCTAAGGAGGCCTTTCTTTAACAACATATTTACAAGGCAAATGTTTGAGAGTCTACGCTTAACAGCTATAATGAGAGATCATATGTGAAGCCGACACTTCTATGTGATAAAAATGCATATTTATACATTATTTATTGTAGACTATAAAATGAGTTTCAAGTACATAATTTCACTATCTTCATTTTTCTTTTATGTGCGTAGGCATCAAGATCTTAGCTATAAAGTAACCCCTGGAGATGAAGTTGAAGATATGTTTATTTTGCTAAATGAAGTTAAGCGGCAAATTCCATCTGTAGCAGCGGTATCTTCTGGTGCCATTGCATCTGACTATCAAAGGCTTAGAGTGGAGAGTGTCTGTGCTAGGTTGGGTCTTGTTTCTCTGGCTTATTTATGGAAACAAGATCAAACTTTCCTCCTTGAAGAAATGGTAATTCATTTAGTGTTTTTCTGTAACATTACAAATTTATTAGCGCGTGAGTGCGTCGTGAACTCTTAATAAAAACAATTCTTGGTTAACTATTCATTCTTTTGGTTTTCCTAGATACAAAGGGGTATAATTGCTATTACTATAAAGGTAAACTTTCTCACTTTGTTAAAGTTTTTTATTTACCAACATAAATTTGACAGTTCTATGGGGGGAATTATTATCTTTGTGATCATAATGGTTAATGCAGGATTGCTTATGACCCGAACTGATTTATCTGAACGTCACAGGTTGCAGCTATGGGTCTGAATCCTTCAAGACACCTAGGGAAGGAACTCTCACATCTGCAACCTTATCTGCTTCAAATGAAAGAGTATGTTTTGTGCCTCAAGTTAAGACATTTATTGTATTTATATTCAATATAGGCCAAAAGGCCAATTTGCTCCCTGTAACGGGGCCTCATACTCAAATTGTTCCTTGCACTTTCTTTTTTCTCTGTACCCTTTCCTAGATGTAAACTTAGTCATTTTTTAACATCCGTTATAAACTGAGTGTTAAATTTTCTTTTATGACCGTATTACCGTCAATAACATTGCAGTAGTGGTCCTTATGCTTTATTTAACCTTTAGGTTGTATTTGTCGTTGTAAATAATATTTAATTAACAATAGCTACAGGTACATTTCACATGAGCAATTCCCATGAAGTTCTCTATTTATGTATCGTTTTAATCAACTGCAGGCAATTTTATAGTTCATTTAATGAATAAATATGATGGAATTTTTATTTTCTATCATTGATATTATGAACAAATACATGCACCAAAGAAATGAATGGACTTTGGCCTGAAGTTTTAGCTGCTTTGGTTCAAAAAAGATTATAGTGCTACAGGTTTTCGATTCAAAAGAGATTATAATAGTGCTATAGGTCACCAAAGAATGAATGGACTTTGGCCTGAAGTTTTAGCTGCTTTGGTTCAGAAAAGAGTATAGTGCTACAGGATTTCGATTCAAAATAGATTATACTAGTGCTATAGGATGCTGGATAAACTTACGAGTGCAACGGAATGGTCTTACTCTAGCTAGTTACTGAAATTGTTACAAAGAAACAATCTTGGCTTAGATTAGTTCAGTGTTTCAAACTGGACATGTCACATGCATTAGTTTTGGCATGTTCATCACATCTGATTCAAAACTTAACCAACCAGAAAGGAATGACAGAAACTTTTACCTCTTTCAAAGTTAAGGGAAACTTCCCAATAAATCCATTCTCTATAAATAAGTTTTTTCCCCTTCTTGAAATCCTTTTTCTGACTACTTATTAGGAGTTTTTGTTCATTGAGCAAAAATATATCAAATATCTGAATTTTTTTTAAGGTTAGAATCATCAATGAAAATACTCCAAATTAGATAGGATGTTTAAAAAAGATACATGGTAATAGATTGTAGTTGTTTATGTAATCTCTAATCTGAAATAATTTTAGTTATGAACATTGCTAATATTTTCTAAGTCTTAACATTTAATCAGTTTTTTGAGGAACCAAAAGTAAAATTAAGGAAACATGATTAATTGATATGTAACTTTAGATTTAGGGTAATATTGTCCTTTCAAGTTTTATTTAACAGAACTTTTAATGGAGAGTAAAAAAAAGAGGCTAACTTTACATCTAGTCGAGAAGAAAGCAGCAGTATAAGGACCAATTTGAGTATGAGGTCCGGGTACAGGGACCAAATTGGCCTTTTAGCCTTCAATATAGTATACAGAGGATTAAGGAGAAAGAATGTGAGGTATCCTTACTTGCCAACTAATTTCCATTCACTTTATGGTGTAGTTTGGATCATATTTAAGAAAAAAAAATCCACAATAAGGCTGAAGTATAGGTAGATAAACCGGTAGATCCATTCTAGGACGGGACCGAGCGATATAACTGAAATAGCTTTGGATGTGAGTGACATTTAACTTCTTGTTGTTTGTAAGCAGCGTGCTTCTTTTATTGTTCTTCTGCGCTTCTCATTTCAGACCTCTTTAAAATAGCATACAGCCAGACAGTAAGGTGAACACAGTGCTTTGATTAGATATTTGAACTTCTACATCAGGAACCCAATCTATATATGATAAAGATACTGCATGAAAATTTATGATTTTTGGACAGGACAGGAATGTCTTGTTCTAACATGAGAACATGAACTCTCAAAAGTTTAGGAATGTTTATGCATCTATCTATGTGGTTTTTCGTGGATAGATGTCTAGTTATGTGTATGAAAGAATCTGAAAAGTATAATCAACTGTAAAACAATTATTTTTTTGCAATCTCATAATGAAATGGGCATAACACATCTAATATTTTTAGAAAAGCCATATAAAAATTGATAAATGTTTAATCTTCCTTCCCTTGTCTATACCTCTCCTCTCCTCCCTGTTTCTCCCTCTTACTTTCTCAGCTCCTATACACTATTGCATATACAACAATAGGTTACTGGAAGCACTGAATTAGGACCAACGTGCCATAAATACTTTTGTCGCTCAGTGAAATTTTAATACTGAAAGTAATCTTATGGGAAAGCTAATACGATTAGTCCTTATGACTTGTATTCTCCTAATGTGACATTCAATCGTATCTTGTGAAACAAATGGACCATATTTTTTCCTCTTAATTACACAGGTTTTCAACACACTGACTTGCATGTGATTGTCGGTTTTGTATCTAATCAATTCACATTAATATTTATAACATCTAAATTTAGAAAAATGGGAATTTGCAATTTATGGCGTATATGTATCATGATTAGTTTCAATTTGCTGTTGCCAGGCTTTATGGAATAAACGTATGTGGTGAAGGAGGAGAATATGAAACACTAACTCTTGATTGTCCTCTCTTTACAGTAAGTGTCAGGTCTCTTCCCTGTGTCACTATCTGGTTTTTGGCTTATCACTTATTTACTTTACATAATATTTACCATCATCTGTTTAAAAACGAAGCCATCAATTTACTTTTCCTATATAAGATTTTTATATAGTTCCCATAACATGAATGATGAAGAAACCAGAATGGTAAGGATTTCAATATGCATCTTTGCGAAAGATGTAAAAGAAGCATGCTTTGATATGTCAGTTGGTATTCTTCATCCCACACTTTAGTTGCTAAAAGATTCCAGAAGAATTAAATTTGTTAATTGCTTTTCCACGGTATTTGTGTGATATATGTCACTTTAACATGTACAAATTTCCAGAATGCACGAATTGTTCTTGACAAGTTTCACGTAATACTGCACTCACCTGATTCCATTGCGCCAGTTGGTGTTCTTCATCCCCTGGCCTTCCATCTGGAACACAAAAGCTCCATCTCATCACTGAGTAGCAGTAACGCAAACATTTATGATGGTTTAGAGAAATTGGACCATATTTATGAAGTACAAGGAGATGGTTTACAAAGTTGTTTGGTCAAATGCCAGCCTATGAGTTTAGCAGGAAATTCTGACATGGCTAATAAATCAAGTTTGTGCATCTCAACATTTGAAAGGGACACATTTTCTGTTGGTTGTTGGAGTCAGAGCTCTTCCAAGAGTTCGGAAGGTAAACTTATGCACCATACTTTTCATTAATTTACGTTCCGTAGAAGAAGCGTTATGGGTATTAATTTTGTTTTACATGGCAGGTTTGTGGGAGGACCTAACTACAGTGCTGAGGAGAATTGAGTCACAACTCAGCAAGGATGGATTTGATTGGGCCAATGTTCTATACATTCACCTCTATATATCTGATATGAAGCAATTTGCTCTGGCCAATGAAGTTTATGTAAGGTTCATTACAGAAAAGAAGTGCCACTTGGGTGTTCCATCACGCAGTACAGTTGAACTTCCTCTGCATCAAGCTAGGCTGGGTAATGCATATGTTGAAGTTTTAGTGGCTAATGACCAAAGCAAGAGAGTTCTGCATGTACAAAGCATATCGTGCTGGGCACCTAGTTGCATTGGACCATATAGTCAGGTAACTCCTACAATTTAACATCATGTATTCTCTACGGATGCTATTAATTCTGACATGACTAGAATAAGCACACTTCATTTTGAATCGCTTGTTGTCTGATACTGTTACTCAATTATATGTTGATTATATATACCATTCTCATTCGCCCAACTGATTAAAGATGAATGCAAAACTATAGTAGCCATATCAAATAAATGAAGTTCTAAGATTAGACACAACAGCTTTCACATGGCAATGGATGGATGTAGTTCGTCTTTGTATCTTTAATTGTTACTTGCACGTTGTAAGATAGATAATGATTAACCAGAGGCTTTTTTTTAGAAATACATTGCTACTGTGGTATTACTTGATATTAATTTCAAACACGGGCTTACATTCATGCTATAGAAAAATCATTCTTACGCTTCACATTATTTCTTTCATTTTCTTTTTGCATATTCTTAGCCTATCAGACATGATTATTTTAGCTATTTCTTTGCTTTGCTTCCTTTCTCATTTGGCATATTCCATTTATCTTGCTTTATTATCATGAAACATATGTAGTCTGGAATTAAATTTCTACAACAACAACAACAACCACCACCAAGCATTTATCCCAAATGTTTGGGGTCGGCTACATGAATCCTATTTTTCTATTCCGTTCAGTTGCAGGTCATTTCTTCCGTTACGTTAGTCTTAATCATATTTTTCTTAATTGCTTCTGACCAAGTCATCATAGGTCGACCTCTAGATATCCTAGCCCCATTAACTCTAATATTATCACTTTTCTTAATTAGTACACTAAAGGGTCTCCTTTGTACATGACCAAATCATCTTAATCTATTTCTCTCATTTTATCCTCGATAGGCGCAACCTCTAATTTATTACGGATGCATTCATTTCTTATCCTATCTTTTAATGTATACCCACAAGACCATCGCAACATTCTCATTTCTGCTACACTCATTTTTTAAACATATTGTTTTTTAATTGCCCAACACTCTGACCCATAAAGCATAGTTGGTCTTATAACTGTCCTATTTTTCCTTTAGTTTCATTGGTATTCTACGAGCTTTAGATTTTCCTTATACATTTTTAGCAACTTTCCTAATACGAGAAGACATGCTATTCCACATAATATTAGTCTCATTATCTATGTTCTATATATTTTCTTTCATTATCTTATCTTTAAAATGTATTAAATTCTCTCCTTTTAAATTCCACCATTTAGTTCTTAGTTTTTTGTTCATGTTAATTTTTCTACTCCACTTTTTATTTTAATAGATATGTCTAAGACCATCAATCTATATTGTGTACTTAAACTCTCTCCTGGTATAACTTTACAATCTTTGCATATTAACCTATCCGCCATTCTAGTAAGAAAAAAAGTCTATCTGACTATTATTAAAACCACTTTTAAAGGTTATTAAGTGTTCATCCTTTTTTTCTAAAAAGTGTATTTGCTATTATCAAATCATACAATATTGCGAACTCTAGAATTGATTTACCCATATTGTTCTTATCTCCATACCCGAAACCTGCATGTATCCTTTCATATCCGTTATTATCCTTACCAACATGCCCATTAAGATCCCCTCCTATAAGTAATTTCTCTCCAAATGGGATTCATTGTACTAATTCATTTAATTTATCCCAATATTCTCTTTTAGTACTCTTTAGCAAGCCTATTTGTGATGCGTAAGTACTAATAATATCAATAACCTCTCCACCTAAGATAATTTTTATTAGTATTATTCTATCTCCAACTCTTCTTACATCTACAACACTTTTGTTTATTATATTATCTACAAAAACTCCCACTCCATTCCTATTCTTCTCTTTTCCCGTGTACCAAAGTTTATATCCGGTATTTTTAATTTCTCTAGATTTTTCACCTATCCATTTAGTTTCTTGTAAACAAATTATATTTATCTTTCTTCTAATCATGACATCCACTAATTCCATTGTCTTTTCTGTAAGTGTATCTATATTATAAGTAGCTAATCGATCTATTTTTTTTGTAAAAGTCTCCTACAATTTTTTCTCTTAGACCGTTCTAGTCTATACCTAATACTATTAGGTACCCTATCAAAGGATTGTAGATTCTTAGAACACACTTACTTGTCATTAGACCGGGATGACATCGATGTAGTGCGTCGCTTCCGGGGGACGCCCTAGCAAACCACCCTTGCTTACTTATCATTGCATCAGGGTGGGATCGATGCAACACGTCGTTGTGGAGACGCATCAACGAGTATATAATATGATTCATTTTGTATGTGGATCCGACTATGTTTTATGCTGGCTGTTGGCTACCTAACACAATCCTAGCTTGGGATAGACAGTGCTGACAAACAACACTGGCGGAGTTTCTGGAATTAAATTTCTAAATAACTAAATTTTATATTGATTGAAGGATTTCTTTCCCCTGTCCTTTCAGGCTACTCTGCATAAAGAAGTTCTCTATATGGCTGGGCAACTAGGTCTGGATCCCCCCACAATGACGCTTTGCGCTGGAGGTGCAGTTGCTGAAATGGAAAAGGCACTGGAAAATTCTGAGGCAGTGGCTAACTGCTTCAATAGCTCTATCAGTTCCTCTGCAATTATTTTTGTTATTTATTGTTCTGCATCTCTTTCTTCTTCTGAGAAAATTAAATTACAGAGCATAATTGATCATTTCCTCAGAGAAAGAGCCTCTAATCCCCAGAAGGAAAGCTTGTTAATAGAATCCAATCCCATTTTCCTATATGTTCTTTCTCCCGGTCTCCCAAAAGGGTATGGATTCTTATCATATTTGGCACGCTGTTTTATTTAAAAGGGTAAATTGCGGATAGATACCCTGTACTATTGTCAAATTGAATTTGCTACCCTTGTAGTTCTATTGTTGCAGATAGATCCCCAGAGATATTTTTTTAACCCCTTTTTAGGGTCCATGT